ATGGAAAGAGAGGCCCAGCGCTTTCCGGAAAGTATTTGATACGGTGATTCACAAGCTCTTTGCAAGAAATCCATCTGAACAGGCTTGTTTGTACCTGGCTGCAGGTACAAGGGGAGCAGCAGAAGGGGAAGCTGTCCCATGAAGGACTAAAGCGAATGCTGCTCCTGCATCTTGTTGACTTGTGATATCACATCCAGGATAATGCATGTGATATACATATATTATACATGCATATAATGGGGAACCTAACAGCACTGACTGGTGAGACCAGATAGGGAGACGCAGTAGCATGCCCATGACAACACAAGTGTTATAAAAAAGGATGCTTTTTATAATGCATGCATGCAGAAAGAAAACAAATGCAATTTTAGTATCTGGATGTGCTGTGGTGAGTACCACAAATCAGTAAGAGGACCCTCCTGAGGGTAAGGCACCCGTTGGAGGTCATGGCCTGGCACCCAGGGATCAGCAGCGTTCTTCAACGAAACTTGTCACCGCTCCTGTTTCAGGCTGGTTAATTAGGCAAAGGGGCATCCTGCCATGCTTATTTAGTAACACAACATGCATAGTTCATTCAGTCCTTAATACAAAACCCCCTGGAGTCAATTGGGGTCAATCAGGGTTACCAGGAGAGCATTGTGCAAGTGCAGGGCAATCATGCCGCAAGCCAGCTCTTGCCAGATCACTTGCTCCCTTAGCAGACTCTGCCATAAACAGGCGTGATTTTTTAAATTGCCAGTGAAACAGCCCAGCACTTAGTCTTCCTGCAACGGAAAGCTCTTTCCTGCCTGCATGTCACCAGGCTGAGGCTATAGGGAATTTGGGAGGGCCCCAAAGCACCAGCTCTGACTTGGTGGGAACAGCTTATGGTGCTGCTCCCAGGAGCCAGGTCCTGGAGGAGGTGTGATGAGGTGGGAGGAAGCTCCAGGCACCTGTACTTCTGGTAATTCACACAAACAACTTATTTAAAGCTGGGTAACATGTACCATGGCGAGCAAGCAAAAGAAGTGGAGGTCAGGCACACTTTTGGGCTTCCTCTCTCTGCTGGTCATCCACAGCCCACACGCTTCTCCTGGGATGCGCTGCCAAAATGCCATGCTTGTACCTGAACTCTTCAAGTGCCCTAGGCTTCCAGTCCTTACCATCATCTTCTGACCATGCCCACCAAGCCCCAGGGCCAAAGGAAAGCCAGCCCTGCTGGTGGATCTTGTGGGAGCTCTTGGCTTGGAGGCACTACCCAGCTGCTCACAGGCGGGATGCTCTTGGAGCAACCTTCACCTGGACCAGACTACAGAAGCCCACCGCAGTGGAAAGATAACAAGGGAAGTACAAGTTATCCTTTTCTTTGGTGGCTCGGCACCTGTGTAACTCAGCCGGTGAGTCCACAGAAAAAAAAAGCACTTTTAGTATTTTCTTCTCTTTTGCTAGGTTTGAGTGCACTCGGCTGAATGAAACGCTGGGGAGGAGGCAGCTCCTTGGATACCTCTCCAGGCGGCTGCAGAGGGTGGGAGGGGACGACAGGCACCCGGAGCCTCCGACTCCATCTTTAGATCAGGAGTGGGATGGGGATGAAAATACCATGGCTAAATAATAACGCATCTTTCCAGGGAAATCAGAAGTTTTAGGGGGCTGCAGATAGGGCCAAAAGCCTTCCCCACTTTCTGCATTTCACTCTCAATTTTCTTCTCCCCATTTTGTAACAGCAATTGTCAGCAACACCTGCCACATCCCCCCGCTGCTGAAAGCAGCCCAGAGGTTTGACCAGTTGCCCCTCCTGATGTTGACTATGTGTCCAGCTAGTTGGGACCTGTCATGTCCTGCTGGTCACCCATCCACGTGGCAGAAACACACACAGACGTGCAGCAGGACGTGTCCTTCCAGTGGTGTGCAACAGCCTAACACGGTCTCACCTCCACCAGCAGGCTAGTACATCTCTTGGGGTCTCTCTAACCATGCAGCTCCTCCATACCTCTCTGTCCCCTTTCCAAAGACCTGCTCTGGCCACATGCTCCTTCCAAGATCCACCTCAGCCACTTGCCACTATTCCTCAATACCCACGATGAATTCAAAAGTCAGCATATGCTAAAGCACAAGGGTTAGTGGGTGTTAGGATGCTCTTCACCCTCTGCATTATGCATGATGCCACCAAGCAGCCAGGGTCCCCAGGGTAGCGGTGCTGCCAGTGTGCCCTCCAGCTCCTGTTGTACTACTGGGGTCACCCAGCCCCCCAACAAGTACCAGTATCAGTCTGAGTGATGCTTCCCACTGAGCTGTGACAGCCCGCACTGATACAGGGAGAGCGGTATCCCTCAGCGCAAGTTCATTAGTGCCTCCCTGGCAGTGAAGATGACCTCGTTAGCAAAAATACTTGTCCTGTATGAGGATGCAAACATTATTTAGGGTTTTTTCCCCTGCCAAGTTGGTTACATGGTTTTGCTATGAAACTGTAATCATGTGCAGCCCACCGACAACACTGTGACAAAGCCTTGACTGCTTGCAGTGATGATACAACTTTATTTGCAGAAAATGCATTCTTTTAGCACTGTTTTGCTGCAAAACTCCATCCTTCCTCCAAAAACCAGGCCACCGTGGCCCATGCCCCCTCCCTCCCTGTGACTCACACCGTTTGAAGCTGGGGGTGAAGACTTTGCCCAGGCTCCAGCGGTACATACAGAGAGTGCTGTCTGTCTCACCCGCAGCTCATGCTCCTCTGCACATACCAGACTTGGCCTTAAATCTCCTCATTAGTTTTCACACAACTTCCAAGGGCAGCTTACACTCAAGGTCCTAATTCATAAAGCAATTAATGGATCAAGCCTCACTACTTCAAAGAGCAAGTTCTGGTATTTGCACAAGTCTTGAGGCTTGGGACAAGCTCATGTGAGCTGCAGGGAAAAAGAGCATCAGACCACAGAGCAATTTTCTCAGAAGATAAAGCACACCTAATGCCCAACTGTGTTAACAGATCTTGAAATGTTTTCCTTTCCTCAGAAAGTTTTTGTTAAGAACATTCACAGCTCAAGTGTTGCATTTCTTCCTCAACTCTTAAAAAAAATAAATCCCATAAACCATCCCATCCATTCTGAGGCAGATAATGATTCTGCGTAAAGGGGAAAAAAAACCCAAGACACCACAAAGCCCCAGTGGGACCTCACTGTGGGTCTTCACTCTATGTGAAGGCACACAGATATTGCAGTGATGAGCAGCAGCAAGAAACCCTAAAAGAGGGACATAAGTGCAAGGGTGAGTTTGCCAAAGGCGTCTGAAGGCATTTACTCAAGAGCTGAGGGAGCCAAGACAGAGTCCAGCCTTCAAAATCCGAAATTTAATCCCAGGTGTCAGCTAGTGACCCTGGAGACAAGTGCTGGGGAGACATCACCTTTCCGTGGTACCTGCAGAGAGCACGATGTTATCAGGTACAACCCAATCCCAAATTAATTCTCTAATGAATTAATTAACAGGCGGGTGCCAAGGGGAGCACGTTAAAGCCATTTCACCAACCCGTGAGCTTTCTGAAGCCTGGAAACACATCGTTGCCCAAGGGCACACCAAAATGGGGCTTCAGCCCTACCCAAGAGACTAAACACCTGGACACCATCTTTTTTCGCCCAAGGCCTCTGGGTAGGAAGGAAACAGTGGTAGGAGCAACAAGCAGAGCATTTCCATTGCAAATGACATTATGCACAAGGAGGCGGCCATCTGATGGGTTTACACCTCCACACGCATGCTGTGCACAGCGCTGGGAGAGCGGCTCTCCTCCGCTGCGAATGTGATCATGAACAGCAGCAGCTTCAGGAAGAGGAGAAAATTACTGGGTGTAATTGAAACTGCAGGGAGGAGCTAGGGACATAAAATGTAATTATCCACCATGGAACGAAGCCAAGATTAGCAATCCTACTTCTGGTCATTTAAAGTTTCCATTAACTTTTCCATGTGCTAATGATATCGGGTTTGTGTCTTACTGGCTGCGAGATGTAGCACTTCCAGAAGAAAGCCCTTGGCCTCCTCTTGTAAGGGTCTTGAATCACCGGTAGAGGAGGGGGTGAGGGTCTAGACTTTAACAGAGGTCTTCTCCAAGGGTCTGGAAGACCTCCCTCCCAAGGTGGAAGGGGTAGGAGGATGCTCCACCTGAGCCTCAGTTGCGCCACTGTCCTCTCCAGGCATTGGTGGCTAGAGTTGGCTAAGGTGCCTTTTTGGTGCTTGGGATGATGATCTGGGTGGGCATCACAACAATTCAGAGACCTCCTCGACTACAGTTGGTGAGACTGGGTGGACCTTGGACCACCTCAACCTCCCTTTTCCTCTCCTTGCACTCCATCTCAGCAGGCTGCAAGACACCCAGCCAATTCACATCCAAACGGAACTGTGGATGTCTCCACATCCATCCTGTGCTCAGCCCATTCCCCTGCCCTGCACCCAGACGCAACCAAGCAGGGCTCTTGCCATCTGGAGAGGGCAGTAAATTCCAACAGGCCATTGCATGCCCTCAACTGATTTCAAATCCTCCTGCTGAAGTCCTGCCACTTTCCCCCCGTACCATTCTCCTTGCACCTTCACCATCTGAGGATGCAGGAGCTGCAAGAATGTCCTTCACCAGCCTCATCCCAAGGCTGGCCAAGGCATCCATCCACAGTACCAGGAGGAGGTGACTCTGGCACCTGCACCCGCATGACCTGTTTCTATTTCCTCACCCTTGGACACCTTTGGGGAGCACTGGGCACTGCTGGGGATGCCCTGAACAACAGCCACCCTTTGCTCCGCTCCTTGCATGAAACCAGCATGAAATCAGTGTACACATACAAAATCCATGCCTTTGTCAAGAGGTGGAAGACCATGGCCTCCAGCCCTGGACCTTCCCCCAGGACGGACTTGGCTTCAGCAGCTTCTTAAAGGCTTTTTCAAACCTTTGAAGGAAAATGCACCATCTTTTCTCCATTTTAAGCAAAGAGAGAGCACCGACCCTCGGATTGGAAGGCACCCGCCCCTGCCAGCCCCCTTACCTCCACCAGGTGAGGCGTGGGGTTGAAGCCACACATGTTGCAGACCTGCTGCTGGCAGGTTGTGCAGGTGTTGTAGTTGGGGGGCTCGCCAGAGCCCACGTTGATCTCCGCCTTGCAGAGGGGGCATGAGACCTTTGCTTTCGGCACTTCCTTTGGCTTGACACCCTGCTCTGGCTTGCCCGGCTTCACGGCCGGTGCGGCACCAGCCCGGCCCTGTGCCCCCGGGGCTTTGGGACCAGCTTCTTTGCTGGCATCGCTGAAGACGATTTTTGGAGGCACTTTGCCAGGAGACGGCTGGCTTGGAGGGGGCGCCTCTGGCTGGGCGGACATGAGCGTGCTCGCCTGGGTCAGGAGGGATGCTCCGAAGCCGAAGAGCTTCCCTGTGAGCCCCTCCTGGGGCTGCTCCTGTGGTCCAGCCCCAGGGGCCAGGACAGCAGGCTTCGCCCCCGCGTCTCCCGTCGTCTTTCTCTGCTCAGAGGAGGAAGGCTTGGCTTGCTGATGCTGTGGGGAGGACCTGGCCGCCTCCTGAGGTTTTGGCTGGCCTGGGCCGTGCGGTTCCCTCTGCGGCGTCGTGGGCTGAGGTTTGGGTGGCTCAGGCGGCAGGGTGCGGGTGGCCGGCGGGGACTTATCCACACCTGGGGGCTGCGGGTGCTTGGCCGGGGAGTGGGAGGGGGATGGCGAAGGAGAGTGCAGCTGCTGCTGACTCTTGGAGCGAGGAGCGGTGGTCATGTCCATCCCCAGCGCCCGCTGCATCTGGCAGTTCAAGCACAACCATTCCTTCACCTGCGAGACAAGGAGAGGACACGGGCAGTGAGCGGTGGGCAGGCTAGAGCCACCCGCAGGCAGCCCCAGTGCACCCTTAGGTTCCCCTAAACAAACCCTATGGAGCTATAGGAACAAGCCATCAACCCCTGAAAAACATTTTGGTACCACATTCTTCACAAAAAGTATCTTGCAGTCAGGGCGAACAGACCCCATCTGTCACAGGTACCCACGGCACAACACGCTGGTGTGAAAGCAAGCTTTAATTAGCGTTGGTTTGCTTCCAAGGCTTCTGCTGTAAAGATTCTGCTAGCCACGAGGCTCTGCCTGCAGACGGTGCTTTTTGTGCCTCTCTCAGCAGAGAGCGGCCTTTCTGAGGGTTCCCGGCCCCACCACCTCCCTAAAGCCCGTTTTCTTCCCTCCCATTTGGCAACCAGAGCTAGCACAGAAAACAGCCAGGGCCCCTCAGACAGGAGCAGGAGGTCTGGCGCAGCTCTAGAGGAATGCTGCTATAATGCATGTGCACAACTGCAACGCTCCCCAGTGCCAGCATGCTGCCTACTGCCACTGGGTACCTCCCGGAGGAAAAGCCGCCGTGACATGCCGGATGCTTCCTCGGGGCCAGCAGAGATGGCTTTTCTTGAATTGGTGCAGTGGTTGTGATATCCCACCCAAAAATCTGGCACTGCAGCCCATAAGGGACCAGCATGGAACGGGTTCTGCTTGCACGATGCATCTGTGCTGCTGGGCTGGCAAGGTGCTGACAGGGGATTAAGTGGTTAACTCGCACTCTCGCCACAATGAACTTTTGGATGCAAATGAAAAATATAATGCTCCCTGGCTAAGTGGTGATAAATGAAAGACTTCCCCCCTTGAGAGACATTCCCTGTGACACGCTAATGTCTGAATTAAGTTAATTAAAGAGGCTGTATAAAAGCTGTGAGCCTTCCCATATGACGAATCCCCAGGATGCTCAGCGGCTGTGCAAATTTTAATATATAGCACAGTCAGCAGGACAACTGGGTCTGCCTGCAAAAGATTTCTCCGAGACAAGCAACTCAGGTGGCAAAAAGGACCAGAGCATTCCCAAAAACTGGATCAGCGTCCAGGACAAGTGGACCCAGAGCCTGGCACAGGCTGCTGCACGTGCAGCACCTGACGGGTCCCAGTCCCTGCGCTCTCCTGGGGCTGCCTGTCCCACGGGCCAGCACGAGCCGCATCGCCTCACCCAGCCCCACGTCTCCAGGTCCGCGTGGCCTTTTGGTCCTCCAGTTGGAGGCATGGGCGCTGCACAACTGATTCATAACCTGGCCACAGGGTTTTTCCCCCTCTACTCCAACCGCAGGCACGTTTTAACCTTTTCCTGCTCACAGGAGCTGCCTGCAGAGATGCAGTCGGGTGTTTTGGCAGGTCCTGGGATGGGACAGGACGGCGAGTCCCCGAGAGGGGAGGCAGATGTGCCCTGAACCCCTCCTTACAGGTTCCCTCCCCAGGAAGACTCTCATAAAGCCCAGCCTTTAAATAATAACTTTTTAAAATAGAGGACATTCAGATCAACTAGGAAAGATGGATTAAAGTTAGAGAGGGGTGCACAAACAAACATCCACCTGCCCACTATGCCCCTTCCACTCTCTGCCCAGCACCCGGCTGGCTCGCCGGGTGGCAGAGAGCTCTGCATTGCCTCTTAGTCTCCAGCAAAGCTCTTCCCATCACCTTACAAGCCTGGTTGCACGTTGGCTCTGTGCTCTTCTCAGCCTTCACTGTGCTTGCTGAGCTCCCACGCCACTATCCCTACCAGCCTCTGCTCGAATATTTCACTCAGAGCTGAGCAAAAAGCAGCTTCAATTTTTCCCTAGCAACTTTGCATTACATCGTTGTTTCTCTAAGCCCTTCTAAATGAGCCACATTATATTTAGTTCCTGAAAATATTGCTGTAGTTTTTATAATTTCTTATGGTCTTGCTGTCTCTCTTCTGACATACAGAATTCCCCATGTTATTTTTGCTTTCACACCCCCTGGAATTTCTTCCCACTATTCTATTTCAGGAGAGTGTCTCCCAAAATCCTGTCAGCTTTGCCCGCCATCCCCATCAGCTCCAATTAAGGGAGAACCAATCCTTTCTATTCAGGTTCTCTCTCCCCGCAAAGTTCCCAGTATCCAAGAAATGCAAATCTTCCCTCTCTGCATAATCTCCTTACCCACACTTTAAGACCCTCCGGTGAGGTGGAAATTGGGGGAAGAGGAGATCTTCCCAAACCCGCCATCAGGACTGTTTGCATCTAGATTTTAAGGGACCGCAACCGCAAGGTATGCGGCAAAGGACACGCTCCACACTCCTGGTTTTGCATAGTCTGTTTTTATTGTAGCCTGGCACAAGATTTAGCTTATTTTCTGGAATAGGAAAAATACTTTGCCACTCTCCTGCATAAACTTCCAAACAATCAAACAAAATATTGAGGGAATTCAATTGATTGCTCTTGACTGTCTGCCAGCTTTAACGAGAAGCAAGTGCTGCTGGTGAATACTGAACAGCTCACAGCTCCGGCTTTGCTGGTTCACCCCCTGCCTGCACCACGCATGGTGCCCGCTTTGCCCCTGGCCGAGGCTTGTGCAGGAGAACTGCTGCCCGGCACCGGGAGGTACCGTCCCCGGGTCCCGTGCCCATGCAAGCTGCATACGGCTCATGGACAAGCCCACCAGGACCTTCCTGAGCCCAGGGCTGGGGAGCAACATGATCATTGGCGCTTTCTCACTTTCCACAATAAACCTGGCTTATGCGACCAAGACAGAAAAAAGCCAGGGGGCTTTCAGATGGCATAGGAACCATCAGATTGTTCTCAGTGACTTGATGAGCAACTGTTGAGGAACGTCTTGTCCTGAGGATCAGGAGAAAGCTGCAGGGAATACAGCGGGGAGGTGCACTCCCAGAGCAAGCATTTGAAATGTAAATTTAGTTGGGATTATCACAAATTGCCTGACTGGCCTCTACAGATGCAATTGATGACACGTGTGGATTACACAGATCAAAGACAACTTAAAGGATCCTGGAGGGAAGATTGTAAAGAGGAAGGGCCAAGTTGTGTTGCCAAACATCCTTCCCCCAAGAAAGAGAAAGGAGGATGGAAAAGCCTGGGCACAAATCTTTATTAATCCAACCCCTGAAAGTTTTGATTTGGTGGAAAACTGGACAAATAAGACAGAAATAAATGAAACTGTGAACTATTCGGTTGGCTCGCATTGCCATCCTCCAAACACTCCTCTTCTTGCCTCAGACTCATCATGCAGGGGAAGATGCTCAGAAAACAGTAGAGAAATAGGGGGCAAGAATATGAAAAGAATAATTTATCCTACTTTCTTGATCACTGCTAACACTGTGGGTAACTAGCAGAATGAAACGTCTATCGGTGAGAAGAGAAAAACCCAACATTATTGAAAACTCTAGGTCCAGCTAACCTTGTTGGGAATGCTGAAGTCACCGTTATACCCTAAAATAAGGGCAGGCAAAACTGCACTCTCTTGAATAGTCTGAGACTGGCTGCTCAGAGCACGCTAATCTCCTTCACCCTAGGAAATCTGCCTGGGGGAATTACTGAAAAATACAAAGAAAATGGGGATGTAGATGATAGCTCTGAAACCAAACTGATGCCTCAATGAAGAACAAATGGGGCCAGCTAAAAGGGAAGGTGGCTGCTGTGCAAAACAGAGGGCACCATTAGAAATATAAAATCAGCAAATATCACAGCTCAGCACACCAATGTCAACTGAGAAGCTGTGAAGTGCTTAAGCTATATGAAAATAAAGGAGCTTCAGGAAGAAGTCTCTTGGGCAGCAGTAGGAAGGATTGATTGAGGGCATTAGGGACAAAGGCCATCCTAGAAAGGACGGGGTCCATCACTGGGTGGAGATGGTAAAGCTGTTAATGAGACAGATATGGCAGACGTGCTGTAATTACTGTCGTTGAACATTTGGGAAGAAGCAGGATAACACTCATTATGAGGATGAAGTGTTTCCAGCTTATTAGCAATGAAGAAGAACATTCAACAACATCTACCAGCACCAGAAGATATTTAAATTTGGCAGATCTGAATAATTTTGCATCCAAGAGATCTAAGATTGCTAAGAAAACTGCTGCGTGCTGATGTTCATTTTTAAGAGGAAATTTTAGACGACTGGAAGGGTCTTCTGCTTGAATATCCAAGAAGGCAAAGGTATGGCCTGAAGGGGACAGCTAGCCAGACATCTGTCCAAGACAGAAAGTGCTGGATTCACACAGCAGAGACCTGAAGGGCACGCATATATGCCAGTCAACGTGGTTTTAGGAAAAATAGGTCACAGCAAGCAAACCTGATTTTATTCTCTGCACATTTGATATTAGTAATGCACAGAAGCAATATCCCTGATGTCCAAAAGGTGTTTTGACCTAGTAATGCATGACATGCTGACAAAAAAAAGCATTATAAAATATGAATAGTGAATACACTAAATGGATTTAGGACTAGTTGCCTGGCTGATCTGGGAGACAACAAGGATTCACCGCTGCTTAGGTATCTCTCTGGTAATGTCTTCATCTCATTATGGCTAACACCATTCACACACGGCAGATTTTGGTGAAATGATAAACATCGGTGAAGACGCATGTCTGCTGCGTGGCAAACCTGTGCTCGCTCCATGCGGGAAGCCCGGAGCTGGAGGTAGGAGTGAGGAGGTGGCTCAGCCTCCTCTTCCAGCACCGAGGGACTCCTTCCAGAGCCCTCAATGGTTCCACACCAACATTTTAAGGAGATTAGTAAAACACTGCGGGAGATATAGACCGGATCTGTAAGAGTGATTCTAGGGATGCAGAAAATGTCTGAAATGAGAGAATTAAAGAGGTTGATCTTTTTCGTTTATCAAAGAGAAGATTAAGAAGTGACTTGATTACGATATAGCAGCACATTCAGGGGAAACAATATCAGGTACTAAAAGGTTCTTAATTAGGCAGAAAAAGGCATAAAAAGAACTAATGACTGGAAATGGAAGCC